GTCTTCTATATCTTTATGATATACATTACCATTAATAGATGGTCAAAAATATTCCTCAGTTCTTAAGATTTGGTCTTCGCTGTAACAATATCAATAGTCATCTATTTAGCATAAATAGATCTAATCTGAAACAATGTTTTGGATGTTTTGTGAAAGGACGATGACACAGAAAGTCATTCGGGAGCAGTTTTCTTAGAAGTCTTTTAGAGTTTTGTGGTTTTACAACTTCGCCTTAGTTAGATGGGAAGATGAGATATATTTAAAAACTGGGTGCACATTTCTTTCTCAAAAGAATGTGGTTTCCATGGTGCATATATATATACACTTGTGAAATCAAATGTGCCCATCTGTTCTGTATAATTTGCAAAACAGATCCTTTTTGGATTAGGACTCTATTTAAAATGTTTGCAAACATATTTTAACCCCGAAATACTTTATAATGCTGCTGTTTTATGCACATGAGTATATATGTTTTGCTGCGGAAATGTTTGTAAACATATTTCAATCTCGAAATACTTTATAAATCAGGGAAAACTTGGGGATTTTTATTATAAGAACTGAAAAAAATTAAATTTTTAGAATTTATAAGAAAATTCCGAATTTTAGAGTCTTTTTTGTTTGCCTCGAACTATATATGAAATTGCGTCAAGAATTCTAATTCAAAACCTTCAATTTTTTCTATTTCTGACAATAATTTATTTTTCAATAACTTAATTCTTCAAGAACTATATCATAAAATTATTACTTAGAGATTATTTCAATTATTTTTAATAAAATTTTCCAAAAGAATTCAATTATTTAAACTAAATTCTAATCAAAATTTCACAGGAATTCAATTACTTACCAATTTTTTATTTTCTTCGAACCAATTCAATTACTTTTCATTTTTTGATGAAATTTCTCGAAAAAATTCAAATATATTCAAAGAATTGAAAAAAAATTAATTCTGAGAAATTCAATTATTTCGAAAAATATGATTAAAATTCTTTTAAAAATTTTATTATTTAAAAAAAATGATGACAAATTCTTTACAAGATGTAGTTATTAAAATTTTCAATACAATTCTTCTTAAAGATTCAATTATTTTCTCAAATAATACATTTTTTTATGGAAACTAAATTATTTTAAAAAATATGAATAAAATTCTTCGGAAGAAAACAATTATTTTCATAAATAATAATAAATTTTTTTTCCTGAATTCAATAATTTTACAAAAATTTTGATAGTGCTTTATAAATTTCAAAAATTATAATAGAATTGATCATAGAATACAATTATTTTTGTAAAATATAACATATTCTTCCTTGAAATACAATTATTGTCAAAATTGTTTGTGAAAATCTTCAAAACAATTCAATTATTTTCGTTAAAAATAAAATTCTTCGGAGCAAATTTAATTATTTCAAAAATTTTAATAAAATTCTTCCCAAGAATTCAATTCCTTTCCAAAAATAAACATTTTCACGCAGGAATTCAATTATTTAAAGAAAATTTTAATAAAATTCTTCGTCAGATTTCAATTATTTTCAATTTTTTAATATGGAATTTCTCGATGAAATATAATTTTTTTTTGAAAAAGTTTTCAAAAAATTTGAGAAATTCAATTATTATTTATAAAACAATTTGAATAAAATTCTTCACTGGAATTCAATTCATTAAAAATTTTTTTATAAAAATTCGCTGCAAGAATTCAATTATAAGTAACAAAAGCTTATCGCAGGATTTCAATTTTTTTATAAAATTTTAAATAAAATGATAAAAAATTGCATTTATTCTTAAAAAATTTTTTTTTAATTCGCCGAAAGAATTCAATTATTTAAAAAAATTTTGATAAAATGCTTTATAAATTTCAAAAATTATAACAAAATTGATCATAGAGTATACAATTATTTTCGTAAAAAATAAAACTCTTCGAAGCAATTCAATTATTTAAGAAATTTAAAAAAAAATTCTTCCCGAGAATTCAATTCTTTTTAAAAATAAACATTTCACAAGAATTCATTTATTTAAAAAAAATTTAATAAAGTTCTTCGTCAGATTTCAATTATTTTCAAGTTTTAAATGGAATTTCTCGAGGAAATTTAATTTTTTTTTTGAAAAATTTTTAAACATTCTGAGAAATTCAATTATTTTTCTTAAAACATTGAATGAAATTCTTCACAAGAAATTAATTATTTTCAAAAATAATAATATTTTTCTTCGAATTTCAATTATTTTTATAAATAACAAAAGCTTTTTGGAGAATTTCAATTATTTTTTATACAAGTTTAAATAAAATAATTGCATTTATTGTTAATTTTTTTTTTTAAATTTGTCGAATGAATTCAATTATTTTTTAAAAATTTTGGTAAAGTTCTTCATAAAAATTCAATTATTTATGAAATTATTGTTTTTTTTTTAAATAATTGAATTCTCAAAAAATTTTCTACTAAAAATTTATTAAATAATGAATTTTACTTAAAATTTTAAATTATAATTTGAATCTTAATTCCTATAGAATTAAGATGTTGCAATAAAGGAAGAACTGCAGTATTCATATTGTTCGAAATGTCACCTTTCTAAATACCCCGCTTTTCAGCAAAATAGAAAGGCTATTCGATGATTAAAAAAAAAAAAGAAACAATAATTTCACATCATAAAATGCAATAAACACACTTTACTTATAATTTTAAAATCCAATCTTGGCTCGAATCTTGGACACTTTTATGTTGGTTCATATAAAATGTGCGATAATGGTCAGTGTAAGTCATCAGGATTTGAGGGCAAGGAAGGCGCCAATGATATTTTCTGAATAGAAAATGATTAGGTTTCCATTCGCCTTATTGACGCTATAAAACGTATAAAACTCATAAAATCTCTATACGAAATGTGCGTAATTTACACTCTTGTTTGTATAAACGAACAGAAGAAAATTATGCAGACGAATATCTCTTGAAAAAAGACATTCCAATGTCAACAAATATATATTTAACGAATGAGATTTTTCTTCATTTTAACTCGTTTTATTATTGACTAGATCTATACTGAATTCAAAATATATTAATTTTATTTATTTCTAGTAGCAATTTTAATAATTTGTTTTCAGGTATATTTAAAAATAAGAAAAATTTATATAAATCAGAATTTTATATCAAAATCGATTTCACTTTAAGAACAATATTATTGTTCGTCGAGATAAAAAAAAAAAAAAAAAAAACAAACCGCACATTGGCCACAGTTCGTTAGCGACTCTAGGGAGTTAATTAGCGAAAAAGTTAATTTCTTGCTTGCTCATAAACGGACGCCGGTGATGAAATACGAGCCTGATAAAGGCAGACGCAACCAGAGGAAACTGGAGTTTTTGGTTTGAGAAGAAAAGGAGGAGAAGGAGAAAACTCAAGTCAAGAGTAAATAGATTAACATTGTTTCTGCTTCATGATTTTATTCCCGCTGTATTTTTGCCCTTCTCTTGATTTTTCAGATCTTAGACAGAGAGAGAGCAAAGGGCGCACGTAATTTATTAGTTTTTGTACAAATTAAAAAAGTTGACGCTTATTTCCAAGAGAACCTAACCTAATGTTCTGTGAAATTCTCTCAAGGATGAAAATGAAATATTTTGTTATTTCAGGGAGATAAACTGATAATTTTGAGGAATTCGACCGCCATTTTGATTTTTGAAAATCGGACTCAAGATCGAGAAAAAGTGTTAGAAAAATTTAATAATTTTATTTTTGCTTTTCTTGTTAGAATTTAAATTTTACTCGATAAGTTGATTGATAAAAGTTGAATGATGAGACCTCTCAAAATTCTCTCTTCTTTATGTAAATTATTATGGATCAGTCCCGCGCTGCTAGAAAGAAAAATATTTTTGTTCCGCCGATTTGCCCACGGTATATAATATGCGAAGGTAGTGGGGGAGAGGGGGGGGCGGGGGTAACTTAGTGAATAATTACCAGCGGGTATGAGCTTGATTCATCACTAAAGTTCGCTACCTAAGATGCTTTATCTGCGCCTCGCAGTCTCCGCAAAATTAATATGCTAATACCAAGGCACCCCCGACCCAAACACCGCAGCTACTGTGTGAGATTCTCCTCATCAAGCATCTAACACCCATTCGATTTCCCTTACTCTCATATATCATTCGAATATGTCTCCTATTCATTGTATAATTGCAAGTATTACACAAGTTTAATTTTTTTTCTTTCAACACAACTCCTATAGATGATCTTTAAATAGAATTATTTTTTTAAATTAAATTATCTGCATGTAAATCAATTTTATACAGTTGAACATGTACATAAGGTACATGCGCATGTACATGTGCAAACTGCACTTGTAAACTAAAATGATGCAAATGCGCACTTAATTATACGCATTTACGCTTGCACATGTAAAGAAAACTTATGCACATGTACACATATATATAGGCATTTACCCTTGCACATGTAAACAAAACTCATGCACATATACACTTACATATGCGCGCATGTACACTTGCACATATAAACAAAACTTTTGCACATTTACACTTAATTATACGCATTTACACTTGCACATGTAAACAAAATTCATGCACATATACACTTTGATATACGCATTTGCACTTGCACATGTAGACAAAACTCATGCACATATACACTTACATATACGCATTTACACTTGCACATATAAACAAAACTCTTGCACATATAAACTTAAATATACGTAAAAGCGATGTGCTCGGAAAAATTGATCATAACTTTAAATATTAAAAGGTGTTATAATTTCTCCAGCTATTAAATTTTTTTTTCATAATCCCAAATGGAAAATGTGTATAATTCTATTCCCACGACTAGCACATATACACACTTATTTCTATAAGTGATACGAGTTATTAAACGTTTTCCGAATCTCGCACCGCACGCATCAGCGATTAGCGGTTTAACACGAACTATCGTGCCGACCAACACCAGCACACCAACTGAACAGTAAAGCACTCGGTTATTTTTTTTTTTTTATTCTCACCGATCGTTTACAAACGATTAGCGTTTAGGTATATCAGGAGAAAATTAAATTCCCTTATAATCGTTGCAGATAAGCGCGCATACGCTCTTTGCGAGGCGTGGAAAGAAAATACATGCGCGTAAGGGTGTTTGTTGGCATTAGTGCGCTGAAAATAAAATGATCATTTTTCAATTATCACACATGAAACTCTTCCGGGGCCCAGATTTAATATTCCGAGAGACACTAATGTATATTTAAAATCTCTTCGCGAACATTGGAATTGAAATGCCTTGGTTATTTTTCAAAAAAAAAATTGTGAAATATTTTTATATGCCATTGAAATTCTCTGTGTGCATACCGTTAGAGCAGTGAAACGTGGAATCAAGAAGTTCATATATGTGGTGTATAGATAAAAGAGCGATGGGGCTAATAAAACTCGTCAGGTGGACTCGTAAGTGTCTAGCGTCAAATTATTTTACAAGCGCGTCATAGGTATCGCATTTTCTTCACTCTTTTCAGTAATGTGCACATGTGAAAAAAAAATTACACATATATGAAAAATACTTATGCAAATATAGACAAGAAAAAAGTCAAAATCAGTTTTAGGAAAAAGTTTGGAAATCATGAAAAAGTCAGGGAAAAAAACAAAATTACTTTTTTGTCAACTCTGAGTCATTCAAAGTTATTCGAAAAATAACAATTTTCGTTTAGATCTGAAAATTATTGATATTAGTTGAAAAGAGTGTAATTTGTATATGTATAGAGTTCGATATATGAGGAGGTTGACCATATAGTGGACATTAAATAAAGCACGCATTACTTTACTGTCTTTGAAGTTTCCTTAAAGAGAGCTCTCGCACATCTCGTATCATTTGAAATAATTAGCGGCAGCTGACTTCGTGTGGCATCTGACTCATGCATATAGACACACTTGACACGGACTTGTAATTGCGCCCAGCATGCAATAAACTGTTACCCGAGTCTTATATCATTGTTATTCCTGATGTTTCATCTTTCTTTAATTTGTCTCCTCAGGCGCCATGAAGGAACATCCACCAAGAAGGCATCAGATCATATTATTCTTAAAATAGAACAATTAAATTCATCATTGAATTTTAAAATGGTGCAATTTAAGAGTAGAGTTATTCCCCTCTGCTGGATATATTAACATTATTTGCTTTAATAAAGGAGACGTCAAATATTTTCATGAAACTTTAGACAGATTAATTTATTGATTAAGTATAATTATATAATATGTACAATAAGTATTGTGAGAATATGTACAATAAGTATTGGAACTTTTATACAGTCTAGGTTGGACCCTAACCATGAATTTTATGCATAATTTATTGTTATTTTACTTTTCCGATAAGACAATTCGATTATTAGACATGGTCCAACCTTGACTACTACTAACTAAGAGAGTTAGTGTGATTGAAGAAAGAAGAAAAGTTCTTATTTCTTTGACTGAAGAAATAATAAAAGTTCTTCATTCTTTGACTGAAGAAAAAACAAAACTTCTTTTTTTTTACTGAAGAAATAACTAAATTTCTTTATCTTTGACTGAAGAAAGAACGAAATTTCTTCCTTCTTTGACTGAAGAAAGAACCAAAGTTCTTATTTCTTTGATTGAAGAAATAACAAAAGTTCTTATTTCTGTTTGAAGAAATAATAAAACTTCTTTCTACTTTGATTGAATAAAAAACAAAACTTCTTTTTTTTACTGAAGAAAGAACAAAATTACTTCTTTTTTGACTAAGGAAAGAACAAAATTTCTTATTTCTTTGATTGAAGAAAGAACAAAACTTCTTTCTTCTTTGATTGAAGAAGGAACAAAATTTCTTAATTCTTTGACTGAAGAAAGAACAAAAGTTTTTATTTCTGATTGAAGAAATAATAAAACTTCTTTCTACTTTGACTGAAGAAAGAACAAAACTTCTTTTTTTTACTAAAGAAATAACAAAATTTCTTCATCTTTGACTGAAGAAAGAACAAAATTTCTTATTTCTTTGATAGAAGAAAGAACAAAACTTCTTTCTTCTTTGACTGAAGAAGGAACAAAATTTCTTACTTATTTGACTGAAGAAAGAACAAAAGTTTTTATTTCTGATTGAAGAAATAATAAAAGTTCTTTCTACTTTGACTGAAGAAAGAACAAAACTTCTTTTTTTGACTGAAGAAAGAACAAAACTTCTTTTTTTTACTGAAGAAAGTACAAAATTTCTTCATCTTTGATTGAAGAAAGAACAAAATTTCTTATTTCTTTGATTGAAGAAAGAACAAAATTTCTTCCTTCTTTGACTGAAGATAGAACAAAAGTTCTTTCTTCTTTGATTGAAGAAAGAAAAAAGTACTTTCTTCTTTCACTGAAGAAAGAACAAAAGTTCTGATTTCTTTGACTGAAGAAATATCAAAAGTTCTTATATCTTTGACTGAAGAAATAACAAAAGTTCTTATATCTTTGACTGAAGAAATAACAAAAGTTCTTATTTTTTTAACTGAAGAAATAACAAAAGTTTTTATTTCTGATTGAAGAAATAATAAAACTTCTTTCTACTTTGACTGAAGAAAGAACAAAACTTCTTTTTTTGACTGAAGAAAGAACAAAACTTCTTTTTTTTACTGAAGAAATAACAAAATTTCTTTCTTTTTTGACTGAAGAAAGAACAAAACTTCTTTATTCTTTGACTGAAGAAAGAACAAAATTTCTTATTTCTTTGATAGAAGAAAGAACAAAACTTCTTTCTTCTTTGACTGAAGAAGGAACAAAATTTCTTACTTATTTGACTGAAGAAAGAACAAAAGTTTTTATTTCTGATTGAAGAAATAATAAAACTTCTTTCTACTTTGACTGAAGAAAGAACAAAAGTTTTTATTTCTGATTGAAGAAATAATAAAACTTCTTTATTCTTTGACTGAAGAAAGAACAAAATTTCTTATTTCTTTGATAGAAGAAAGAACAAAACTTCTTTCTTCTTTGACTGAAGAAGGAACAAAATTTCTTACTTATTTGACTGAAGAAAGAACAAAAGTTTTTATTTCTGATTGAAGAAATAATAAAACTTCTTTCTACTTTGACTGAAGAAAGAACAAAACTTCTTTTTTTGACTGAAGAAAGAACAAAACTTCTTTTTTTTACTGAAGAAAGTACAAAATTTCTTCATCTTTGATTGAAGAAAGAACAAAATTTCTTATTTCTTTGATTGAAGAAAGAACAAAATTTCTTCCTTCTTTGACTGAAGATAGAACAAAAGTTCTTTCTTCTTTGATTGAAGAAAGAAAAAAAGTACTTTCTTCTTTCACTGAATAAGAAAGAACAAAAGTTCTGATTTCTTTGACTGAAGAAATATCAAAAGTTCTTATATCTTTGACTGAAGAAATAACAAAAGTTCTTATATCTTTGACTGAAGAAATAACAAAAGTTCTTATTTTTTTAACTGAAGAAATAACAAAACTTCTTTTTTTCTTTGACGTGTTACACTATAAGTTAGTTATAGGAAAAATTGTAATTTTCCAATGTAACATAAAATGTATGTTTTACCACAGAAATTTCGTCCTTGTGAGAACGAGTTGGTATAGAGGAGTGAAGGAAGGAGGAGAAAATGGAATGCAGACGTAGGAATCGGCCCCTTTTAGTGATGGTAAGTCAATTTTAATAAATTAATGCTTTGTGGTCTACGTTCGGTGATTATGGAAAATGTAAATTACACAATTAAAGTTATTTACACTCATTGTCTTGTCCCTTAAACATTCTTCCTGTTATAGACGACTCACGCACACAAATTGTAATGAGTAATATTAACGCTCGCATTCATACTCGCGGCATTCTTTCAATTTGGTTTTACGACCATAAATGTGTAACTTGACAATAAGGGATCCTATTTGACGATGTCTTCTACGAAACTATATTTATATTTTTTTTGCCCAGTACTTTTATTATATCCTGGTTTTTTTTAAATAATTTATAATCGTAATTATAGTATTATTCACATTTTTTGACTTGAATTTAGAGTCAAATATTAAAAATTGTCGATTTTCATTAAAAGGGGATAATTTTTGAAAGGGTTTTCTTTTTTGTCGTTTCCTTGCTGTTGAATAACAAAGAAAGTGAAAGAGACAAAACTTTACCTTTTGTAACCGAGGTGTAATTTAGTAATGAAGACCATGCGTCATTTGGATGCTGGGTGGTAAATCACAGGACATAGATTGGGGTTCTTCTCTTCCAGATGTGACCCAGTGCTTTCTGCTAATTTGCTGTCCGCACCCAATCTTCTGCCCTCCGTATCCCCCAATCGAATGAACGAGTCTGCAAAACCACACATACACTCACATCAAACAATTTTCTTTTGTAATTAATATTTTTTCTAATGCAAATGTCATTCTATTTTTAATAAAAATAGAAAGTGTTGTTTTAACCCCTATTCTGGGGTAATAATCGTTATTTGATAGAATTGGACCCTGGACAATAAAATTATGATTGTAAAATAGGTTCAGGAATTTTAATAAAATTCATTGGAAAATTCACTTATTTTCAAAAAGTAATGAAATTCTTCGCAGAAATTCATTTATGATTAAAAATTTTAAAAGAGAGTTAAGTACAAAACTTATTAGTTTCGTATTCGAATCTCAAATACGAAACATTACCGAATCTAATGTTTCGTATTTAAGATTCATTGATGTTCGTGCTCCTTATCGTCATTTAGAAATCATTCTATTGAATATATTGTGAATACACAATCCCTAGATTTTCTTTTCTTAAAAAAAAAATACCTGTGTGTGAAAGAGAGAGATAGGGTCCGTGGCACGAGCCTGCTTTTTTCAACAGCTGGTCCAAGATAATAAATGAGTGCAATGTCAGTAAAGGGACATACGTAACGCATGTACCTAATCGAACAGAGAGAATAAGGAGAGAGAGAGAAAAAGAAAAAAATAAGGGCACAAGAGAGGGCAAAAAGCATGGGCGTGTATATACTCCCTTCCTTTGGGATTCAAGTTGCACAATGGAATTATGCTCCTACGTATTGGTATACGTATTCTATAAGGGCCTCACGATATATAGTTATACTTGTACCCTTGGGTATGTCGGATATGCCCGCTATGCCGGGGCCATGTTCTGGTTTTGATCCGTGCGCCAGATAAGATCGCTCGCTTTGTTACCAAGACTCGTGTCTTCGGGTTCCAAGAGAACCCATGGCGAATCTTTTTCCTCCCCTGGATTATCTTATTTCTTCTTTTTTTTTGCTTCTAATGCACCAAATTTCAGCATATTGTCATCAAAACTTATATTTCTCAAGGAAATAACGAAAGTACAGAGAAATCAGTTTATTTTTTTAATTTTTGGTCCGTACGGTCCTAATAAAATTTAAAATTAATTTTCGAAATTCAAGATCCAAATGGTCTAATCAACAGGGGTTTCCACAGCTCAGGGATGTCCGGGAATTTAGGGAAAAATCAAGGAAATTTGAATTGATAGGGAAATCAGGGAAAAGTCAGGGATTTTTATTAAAAGTATACCGGAAAAAATTTAATTTTTAGAATTTATAAGAAAATTCTGAAGTTTAGAGTCTCTTTTGTTTGCCTCATAAACTATGAAATTGTCAAGAATTCTAATACAAAACCTTCAAAATTTTTCTATTTCTGACAATAATTTATTTTTAAATAACTTAATTCTTCAAGGACTGTCATAAAATTATTACTTATTATTATTATTATTATTATTATTATTATTACTTATTATTATTACTTAGAAATTATATCAATTATTTTTAATATCTACTATTTTAATAACATTTTCCAAAAGAATTCAATTATTTAAAGAAAATTTTGATAAAAATTTCACAGGAATTCAATTATTTCCCAATTTTTTTATAAATTTCTTCAAACCAATTCAATTATTTCTAATTTTTTTAAAGAAATTTCTCGAAAAAATTCAAATATATTCAGAGAATTGAAAAAAAATAGTTCTGAGAAATTCAATTATTTTGAAAAATTTAAATAAAATTCTTTTAAAAAATCTATTATTTTAACAAATTTTGACAAAATTCTTTACAAGATTTAGTTAATAAAATTTTCAATACAATTCTTCTTAAAAATTAAATTATTTTCACAAATAATACATTTTTTATGCGAATTCAATTATTTAAAAACAATTGAATAAAATTCTTCGCAAGAAATGAATTATTTTTATAAATAATAAAATTTTACTCGAGAATTCAATTATTTAAAAAATTTTTGATAAAATGCTTTATAAATTTCAAAAATTAAAATAGAATTGATGATAGAATACAATTATTTTCGTAAAATATAACATTATTCCTTGAAATACAATTATTGGCAAAATTGTTTTTAAAAATCTTTGAAACAATTCAATTGTTTTCTTAAAAAATAAAATTCTTCGAAGGAATTCAATTATTTTAGAAATTATAATAAAATTCTTCTCAAGAATTAAATTCTTTTCAAAGATAAATATTTTCTCCGTAATTCAATTAATTTCAAAAATAAAATTCTTCACTGGAATTCAATTCTTTAAAAAAAATTTTAATAAAATTCGCTTCAAGAATTCAATTATAAATAACAAATCTTATCGCAGAATTTCAATTTTTTTTTATACAATTTTGAATAAAATTATAGAATGTTGGATTTATTCTTAAAATTTTTTTTTAAATTCGCAGAAAGAATTTTTGATAATATGCTTTACAAATTTCAAAAATTACATAATAAAACTGATCATAGAATACAATTATTTATTTGTGTTAAATATAACATTCTTTCTTGAAATACAATTATTGTTAAAATTGTTTTTAAAAATTTTTGAAACAATTCAATTATTTTCTTAAAAAATAAAATTCTTCGAAGCAATTCAATTATTTAAAAAATTTTAATAAAACTCTTCCCAAGAATTGAATTATTTAAGAAATTTAAATAATGTTCTTCACAAGAATTCAATTCTTTTCTAAAATAAAAATGTTCACAGGAATTCAATTATGTAAAAAAAAAATTTAATGAAATTCTTTCTCTGATTTCAATTATATTTTCAATTTTCTAATAAAATTTAATTTTTTTTTGAAAAAGTTTTAAAACATTTTGAGAAATTCAATTATTATTATTTAAAAAAATTTGAATATAATTCTTCACAAGAAATTAATTATTTTCATAAATTAAAATATTTTTCTATGGAATTCAATTATTTTCATAAATAAAATTCTTCACTGGAATTCAATTCTTTAAAAAAAATTTTAATAAAATTCGCTTCAAGAATTCAATTATAAATAACAAAAGCTTATCGCAGAATTTCAATTATTTTTTATACAATTTTAAAATAAAATGATAGAAAATTGCATTTATTCTTAAATTTTTTTTAAATTCGCCGAAAGAATACAATTATTTTTAAAAATTTTGATAAAATTCTTAATAAAAATTTATTTTTTAGAAATATTCAATTATTTAATAAATTATATATTTTAGTATTTAAATAATTGAATTCTCCAAAAATTTTCTAACAAAAATTGATTAAATAATGAATTTTACTTAGAATTTTAAATTATAATTTGAATATTAAAAGCATTATAGCGTGAATTTTTAGAAATAACTAAATTTTGAAAAGGCCGGGTTTAACTTCAAAATTAAAATCTTTGAAAATTTGAATTTATATAGTTACAATATTCTTATGATATGAAATAATGATTTTTTTTTTCATCTTAAATTTATCATAAGTTATTGAATTTCAGAAGGTTTGTATTTGAGAATCCTAATTCCTATCGATAAATAATAATTAAATATTTATTTAAAAAAGAAGTTATTTGTTTTTGAATAATTTTACTTTTAAAGAAATTTGTAAATAAATGTAATAGAACATTTTTTTTGAATATCTAATAAAGAGAATGAATCAGAATATTCTTTTGGGTCATCAGGGAAAAAATCAAAATCATTCAGGAAAAAGTGTGAAAATTAGGGAAAAGTGAGGGAAATTCGACATTAAATTTTTGTAGCAACTCTGTTATATATATTACTCAAGGAAAATAACAAAAATACAGAGATTGGACATGTTAACTTTTAAATGTTTGGTCCGTTTAGATAAAAATTTAATTTTGAAAATTGAAGATCCAAATTGTTTAATCAATCTCCAATAACTGTTTAAACTCTATAACTGTAAGGGTTAAAGTAAAGTAACCTGTAACACTTAAGAGACGATGGATTTATCTAAAAGGTGTCTTATCACGATAAAAGAGATAAATATCTCCACATTAATTTATCTCGCAGCGATTAAGATGTAATCGTTATTTTACCAAAAAGCTGCAAATGTTGTTATATAAGTTTCCATTGGGTTCGATTTCATAGTGCGACTGGAGAGGCATTTTACGATGAATATACACCTTTATACGTGAGATCATTCCTTGGTGCAGCTTGGTTAACGGTATCGGAAAGTACCTTTATACATTATAACGTGTTGGAGATTCCACCGTGGAAGAACCAATCGGCGATGAGAGACTATAATAGAGAATCATGAGTGTATAATGCGAATGCTAGTAATACAGACGAAGATAGATGAGAGAAAAGATCAATAACACGCATAACTGTGCTTATACTAATTTATAACCATCTTTATAATATAGTTTTCTATTTATTCAAAATACTATTTTGT